AACGTGTGAAAATGTAAAATTATGGAATATAATTTTTAGGTATTGATGAAAGTTTTTTCACATATGATATAGGCAAACCATTACCATTTAGGCAGCAAAGCTTGCCCTGCCCAGCCCAAAATGGTTAGAGCTTCCACAGGCAGAGCCGAGCAGCGGGCTACAAAATATAGCTTGTTCATACTTTGGGCTGGGCATCAGGCAGGGGTCCTACTTAGAGGTGGGAATCAGGGCCGGACAGGGCTGACGGGCTTAACAGGGCCGGCCCTCCAAGGCTGAAATTTCAAAAATACCCTAATTTGCTAGGCCCGACCCTTAAGTTACAGGGCTCAGGGCCGGCCCGCGGGCTTTTGGCCCGTTTAAGAAAAAAATACTATTTTTTATATTTATCATATTTTTTATAAAAAATAAAAATAAACCAATGAAATTATTTAAAAAAAGGCATAAATATGAATAAAATTAAGTCACAAATATAAAATATCATCATATATAAATATCCATCAACATCCAAAAACATCTAAAACATTCATTAACAAGATAACAACATCCAAAAGTTTTATCTATAGTGCAATTGTGCAATAAATAAATACTATCATTAATCTTTTGAAACTTCATCATCACTATAATTAATTACTCTTTTTTATAAGTATGATTTTCTTTCGTAACAAAAATATCAAATTTTTCTTCTTTATAGGAATTTTACTTTTAAATTTTACAATCTAGCTATTATTTTACTTTAATGTGAGAAACATTGTTGTTGAAACTCATGAATTTCTAATTCAAATTATAGAATCACAAGTTATATAAGTATAAAAATACTCTATTATCAAATATATATATATAGTTTAAAAATATCAACGCATATAATATAAATCAAATCATTATTAAAGTCCAAATTAACCCATTTTTTAAAAATTTAATTGGATAAATTATTGTCTAACACTAAATTTAATTTTAAAATGATAATAATAACTAAATATTTGAAATATTATTAACAATGTAAAAAATTAGTAATATTAGAATTATATAAAAAAATTTAAAAAACAAAAAAAAATTATAAAAGGGCTTAAAAGGGCCGGCTTGTGGCCCTCCAAGGCTGGCCCTTTTAAGCCCTCGGCCCTCCAGGGCTAGCCCTTCAGGGCTTATTTCCTATTTGAAGGGAAAAATATCAAGCCCGGCCCTCATAATTTCAGGGCATAAACGAGCCCTTTTTCCCGGCTATAGTCCTACCCTACCTAGCCTTACCCATGTGTACCCTTAACTCCAGTGTTGACCAACCTCATTCTTCTCCTTATACTAGTGAGAATAAAATACTCCAACACATACTGGACCGTCTTCTATACCCACTACTAGTACTCCTATTCCTCCTCCAGTAGAATGTCCTACTTCTCCTACTTCAATTGAAAATGGAGCTATAGAAGGTCGTAAGAAGAGAAAAGAGCCTGAAAGGAAACCAGCACAAGTATGGTATCACTTTACTAAGTTACTGTTGGAGGAGACAAACGGAGATGCTTGCAACCATGGCAAGCATGGCACAACATCATTGAAGAGGCACTTACACCCAAATACCAAAACAATCTATGCTAAATTATATGGCAACAAGTGGGCAAGAGGGAAGCTTAATGCCTCATGTCTTCAATAAAAAATGATGCCTTAGGGCTTTAGATGAGTTTATTATATGTGATGAGATGCCATTCAGGATTGTTGAGAAGCAAGGCTTTAAAGTGTTTGTCAAAGAGTTAGAACCACGATTTCAAATCCCTTCAAGAATAATGGTTGCTAGAGATTGTTGGCAATTGTATCTTAGTAAAACTAGAATTTTGAAAAAATGTTGAAGAAGTGTACTAATCATGTCTGCCTCACAACAGATTGTTGGACATTAGTTCAAGACTTCAATTACTTGTTGTGTCTTACAGCTCATTTCATTGGTAATGATTGGAAGTTGTATGAAAGGATTCTCAACTTCCGTATGATTGAGAATCTTAGAGGTAATACCATTGGCAAGACAATTGAGAGGTGCTTAATAGAGTGGAGCAAACAAAATGTGTTTATTATAATTGTGGATAACGCATCATCTAATGTCTCGGCCTTGTCATATTTGAAAAGAGGATTAAAGAACTAGAATGATCTTGTATGTGGTGGTGATTTTCTTCAACAAAAATATTTTGCACATATCCTTAGCCTAGTTGTGAATGATGGCTTGAAGGAATTGAAAGATTCTTTTGATTCAATCCGAAATGCTATTAGGTATGTTTGTTCCTCCCCTACTCTTCTTCAAAAATTTAAAGATGTTTGTGAATTGGAAATATTGGATACAAAAAATATGTGTTGTTTAGATGTGAGTATTAGATGGAATTCTACTTATTTAATGTTGGATGTTACTTTGAAATTTCAAAAAGCATTTGAAAAATTGGAGGATGAAGATGAAGATTATATTGCATACTTCAACAATGGTTCAAAGCATGATAACAACATGAATAACACAAATATCTTTAGTGAATGTGCTTTTGTTAATGGTTACATGGATGCCTACATTAATAGGCAAAGTACTCCTCCCCTTAAGCATAATAGCCCTCCTAATAAAACAAGTTTGGGATAAGGAACGAGTCTTCCTTAAATTCTTAAAGGTATTTTATGATGTGACCATACTATTTTCTAGTTCACTCACAGTTACTACAAATATGTGTTTCCGTTAAATTGTATTGATTCAAGAGTTATTGCGAGAAAATATTGAGTCTAATAACCCTCTTCTTAGGATATATCCTTAAGCATGAAGATTAAGTATGACAAATATTGGGGGGCAGGAGATAATTTGAATTCTTTGTTGATTATTGCTTTGATTCTAGATCCTCGATACAAGCTTGCTTACATTAATCATGTATTTGAGCAACTTTTTTTCTTGAGCTTGAACTTTGTGTTTCAATGAAGAATAGGGCTAGAGACACTTTGTATCTCCTGTTTGAGGAGTAGGTCTAGTAGTGCCAGCAATTTGAACTCTTCTAGCAATGTTATCACTTCAATTATAATTGAAGGTAAAAAAGATCTTGGTCATAGATGGTTAGCAACCCAAAAAGAAAAGAACTCATCAATAGGTACTCAGTCAGAGCTAGATAGATACCTTTTATCTAACACATCTGAAGACATTCCCATTGATGATGATGATTTTGATATCTTGACATGGTGGAAAGTTGATTCTACCAAGTATAGAGTGCTTTCTATGATAACACATGACGTAATGGCTATACAAGTATTTATAGTGGCATCTGAATTAGCTTTTAGCACTAGAGGACATGTTGTTGATGATTATAGGATTTCTTTGTCTTCTAGGATGACTAAAGCACTTATTTATGCTCAAAATTGGCTACTTGCTGGGCATTCTCTCTCAGAATTGGCCTCAAAGCTAAATGAATTTGACAACTTTCAAGAGACTGACAATGTAGTTAATATTGCAGGTAATATTTCCCATTCAAACTTACATATTGTATTTATGCTTTTCAATCCAAATTTGCATCATGCATCATTAATAATTGCTTCGTTAAAATTTGTTTCAAGATGGAGCAAGTGCGATTGAAGGCAGAGGAGATCGAGGAATGAAGAATTGAAGATTAATTGACGCTGAACATTTTCTTAATTAAATTTGAATCCTTTGTTTTCCATTTTTCATCGGATGTTATGATAATTTAGACAAGTTTTCATAAGTTGTTTGTTGTTCAATGTTGTTATAACTTGGATTGGATGTCTTTGAATTTTTATTGTGCTTAATATTGCAATTGATTGTTGGGATTTTAATGCTTTGTTATGACTTTTATATTGTTGTAAGTATTTATTTGCTTTAAATGTGTTTATTAGGTGTGATTTTTGTCTCCTATAAAGGTGAAAACGTTAAAAAAAAAAAAAAGAAAGGAGAAAATTTAGGTTTTGGACTACCTGAACCTATCCATCAGTCTGGTGGATCAAGTCCAATCCAACCCGACTTTGGGTTATAATTACCCGTATATGTATCCTCTTTTTAGCAGTAATAATATTTGCAGTACTGTCAAACACTAAATATGAATACTTTTTTCTAGTAAAAATTTAAATATTAATTTATGATGTTATAAGATATTAATTCCTTCTACCAGGGAGTTTACAACTGGAACACATCAAACAATTGCAAGGGCAAAAAGTTACGGCCACTTGGGCTATGGTCTTATTGTGTTATTTTAAAACTTTTTTAGCTACGTCCAATTGGGCTAGAGTCCAGGTCAAAAAGATTGGGCTAGAGTCCAGGTCAAAAAGATTGGGCTAGAGTCTTGTTATTTTTTCCCCACCTCTTTTTCAGCCGAGAGGGCCAGAGTCTACGTTAAACCTAGGACAGCTTGCTAATGCCTGAGAATAATATAAACCGTCCAATTAGATATAGATGTCTTCTTAACCGTCCGATCATTCTGCCACTTATTCTATAAGTTAAAGGGCCTAAGGCGCCTGGCCACACTCGTCTCTTGGTCGCCGCTCTTCCACAGCTCTAATTAGGGTTTTGTTACCTTTCGCTCTCTCGCCGATCTGAATTCAATGGAGTCCGTGCAGATCTCCTTGGTAACCCTGTATTGAATCCTTTACTTAGCTTCATTATCTGGTCATTGCGGATTAATTCAATTCCCAATTGACTCGTTCCCTTGAAGCGAAAGCAAATTGTGTTGCTTTTGTCTAATCTCTCCCTCAACCCTCTTTTCCGACGTTGATTTGGGAGAACGCTTGAGCAGCAACATTTCTTTCAAGTTATTTACCCCCCCACCTTTTTAGGCTCTCGGAGAGTCCTTTGAATGATTCAATTGGGAGTGTATCGCATTTAACTGTGATGAGTCTACAGACCTGTAATGACTTGCGGTTATGATCGCAATCGTTATTGAACATCTAAGGGACTGAGTTATGTGCTTTTACTCCCACTATATTTATATTGGCTTACTCGGTTTGAGGAGAGAATTTTCTATGATATAAGTTAGTTTGCGTTTTCTTATCAACATAAGGCTTCATATCCCAAATTGATTTTGCTGGCACAATTGTGTTGATGTTTGTGTTTTGCAATGTTTTATAGAAGCCTAGATTTTGTTCCCCTCGCTATCCAGTGTTGTAATATAATGCTCCATTAGGACGTCGGGGAACAATATTCCTTGCCAAAACCCTTTCTTTTTGTTCGTTGGTTCATGTTTTGTAATTACTGATTCCTTGTTTACAATTTCAAGATAGGTTTTGTTTTTTTCTGATTACTTTTTGGTTTTTTGGGGGGTGAAAATTTTCTGATAAGCTATAAATGAAGACATTATATGATTATATGTGTGGTAGATGGGGATGAAGCAAAATCAATAATCCAACACTTGATCTGATACTATTAAGTGAAGTTAAACGATTATTTTTGCTCCTGAATCTACCATTACTGTTTATGTTAATATGTTTTTCATTTTTAGTATTCATTTCTGGTCATGGCAGTATGCCAAGTGCTGTGAAAGTATGTAATAATGCATCAAGTGATGAAATTGGAAAAATCTTAGGACACCTTCCTACACGGCAGCACTGTCGTGGATGAGAAAGAATATTCCATGCTGATGATGTGTTTCACAGTTTAGAGGGCCCCCGGAATTGTGAAAGGTGAAATTTGACTGGCAGAAGCAGATTTGAATATGATTTACATAGACGAGTTTCTTCTTTCTATCTCACTTGTATGTATGACAATGAGTCCAAGTCTATGTAGGGTTTTATCGCTTATGATGTCCCCAGTTTGGATGGTGCCATTGGCTAAACCGTTCTCAGGGGAAGTTATTCTCTCTCTAAAGAATGCCATGGATTCAAATTTGAAATACAAATGAAAAGTAATTTCAAATTTTAAATTGTATCGATAATAATCAAAAGACTGAATTACCATGGACAGAGATGGAGGGATTTATTCATTTTCTAGTTGTGACCATGGATGCGATGAATTGTAAGGCAACTGGCAATGTAAATATGAGAAGGCTTGGGAATGGGAATCTTCTAGAAAAATAATCTGATAAAATGAAAGCTTCATCAAAATGTAAGCATCCAAAATTACAAATCAAAACCCAAAATTGCAGGGTTTTAACTAGTCTCCACTTGACTGCTCCCTTCCCATGTATCTTTCCCCGTAATCTTCTCCGAGACTGAGGTTATGATGGCAGCCAAGAAAAGAACAACTGGAATATGGAACTAGTAACTCGTGAAAAGAAAAATCACGAGTTGAAGATAATTTTCATGGTTCTATTTCCTCTCTCTGAAACAATGGCTTGCCCCCTCAAAGCCTTGTCCGAGGATGACTTCATTAAGTGAACATCTTCTACTCTGTTTGCAAAACCAAGACAGACGGGTAGGGAGAGGCTGCCAATTTGAGAGTATTCTGTTTGTGTTCGTACGGAAAACGGGCCTGCGTAGTCCGGGCTGTGGGCCCGCATGTTAAAAACAATCAATTTATAAAGCCCGGCCCTTACAGTAGTCAGTGGTGGGCTCAGGCGGTCCTGTTTAAGAAAATATATACATATGTTTATACACACGCATTCTTTAAAATATTTTGATTTTGATATGGATAACAATAAAATAACAAGCTTTATAAAAACTCATAATTCGAACCATTAATAATAAAACAATATGAAATTGGTAGCTGAATTTTTAAAATTAAACCAAATTAAGTCATTGTTCTAAAAATTGATAAACTATTGCTCAAAATTACAAAGTAAAAACTTTTTGGGGTTCACCAATCGCTTCTGCCGACTTTTTCAAATTCACAGATTGCATATAATATCAGTAGATAGTTGAGGACGTAAAGGACGTAGAAATTTGGTGGGAGAGGTTTGTTTTACATATTCTACTCACGAAGTCCCGGTATTAAAGAATTTTTTAATGATTTTTTTCAATTATAATTATAGGCTCTACTTTTCATTTTTAATACTTCATACCAAATGATATTTCTAACTCACATGGCATCCACTAATATGTTGCTTCTGGGAAGATCTGATAAACCCAAGCTGTGACAAGCTACAATTGCCGACGATGGCAGTAACCAACAACATTCTGGTCAATCTGGTCAAAAAAAAAAAAAACCAACATTCTGGTCAACAATTAACAATTTAGCCCTTACAAACCATATAAGTGATTCAAAAAGAAAAAGAAAAACAAAAGTACTGCCTATTTTAATATAAGAAATAGCTGGGGATTGTATTTTGTCCTAAATATAAGATATTAATATACTTTGTCTCTTAATTTTATAATTTCTTTCTCAAAGGAATTCTTATCGAGTGGATAGTTCCAATACACATGAAAGAAGATCAGGACAGTTTAGAAAAACCAACACATATTTGTTATAAATAATCAAATTAACTAATTAACTAAATTTCTTAATATCTCAAAATTAATTATCTAACTGTTATATTGAAAACAGAAGGTAGTAATGCTACCTTCCATTTTTAATATAAGATCTAGATAACTAATTCGGGATTAACTAATTTTTTTTAATAAATATGTCACTTGGTTTCCACACGTTGGCAACTTTTTTATCATATTGCAATTCAGATCGGTTATTATTCAAATAAAGAAAATTCCCTTCAATATGAAAAAAAATCACAAATAAAGACTCTGAAAAATTAAAAATTGCAATTGAAATTCTTGAATTCAAAAAATTGTTGCCAGAGCTTAGTTTTAAATATGAGTTAGCAAATGATGTATAAAAGACCAAATTGCACTCCTATTGAAAATCAGGAGTTCAAAATAACAAATACAGTATTAAGAACTACAAGTTAGAATAAGTATTTCAAATAACAAGTATGTACTACAAAATAAAAAATATAATATTGAAAATTAGAAGCCAAGTGTTCCAAATAAAAAATCGGAAATAACAAGTTTAAACAACAGGATAATTTGGACTTTTACACTATTTGCTCATTCATAGTTAAGACGCAGTTCCTAACAGCAATTTTTAATTTTTTGAATTCAAGCACACAAATCGCAATATTTTTTTTTAGGGTTTTTATTTGCCATTTCCATTCAGTATTTCAGGTTTTTCGATAAATGGAACCGAAAACCAAATGTCCAGCCCCTACAAATGCGACAGATGCTTCCGCTGCAGTCTAAAACAATACTGGGCCATTTTAAATTAATTCTTGAAGCCCACAATGAATTTATCAAGCCCAATTACGGCCTTTTGTGAGTCCAAACAGATTTCTGCAAACTAAGGGACAAAAATCGCTGTGTAATATATGTTTTGACGTAAACTGATTTTTGGAATGTTGAAAATTCAATTTCAAAATACGTGAATTATGGAACAAAGGTTAAATCAAATTAGAAGTCAGAAAAAGTTACGTGTTAAAAAGGCATCCACTAAAAGATCCTTTTTTCAATTACTTCTAACAAGATGATTAACTTAAGATTCTTAACAAATAAACTATCACATACCCCAGATTAGCGCTTACCCAATCACACCGCTTTTGTCTCTACGAAGGTTGGGAACTAAAATGCAGGACCCCACCAAGAGGCGGGACCCTCCCAAATATAGGCGTATGCCACTTTGAGCAGCGGGCACACGGTATTCTTTAGTAAAAGGCGAAAGAATAGTTCGCTCTGTGCCCACTGCGCGGCTGCGTGCTTTAAAGCGAATGTGGGACTATACGACCTTTGTGGCTCCTCGATGTGGGACTTTGAATTGATGCGAACCACAGAATCACGTTCTATGCAATCCAAAATTGGACCTCCTCTCTTTAATCTCTGAATATTGAGTCCTCTTTTTTGTCAAAAAAAAAAAAAAAAAAAGAATATTTAGTCCTCTTTTGAACACGCACCTTCTAAATTCCTACCATTCCCTAAAAAACCTTAGCAAGTGAAAACTATTTGATTTCCTCATATGCTTCAATCGTTTGAACCTAAATTATGATGTCTGTGCAAGTTTTCCTGCCAAGGGTTCTGGTTCGCTCATATGGGAACTGTGTTATATCTCAGAAAACTATTCCTATACTCATATCCAAGAACCCAATATCGTTTCTTTCACAAATATTAAGATTTCCTGCAGCCCCATTGCAATTTAACTGCAAAAGGAGAATGAAGCATTAAAGAGAATCGTAAAGAAAATGTTATGAAAGCTCTCAGTGCAGCATCACTTTCTTCATCCCCAAACCAAGTGTTGATTGGTCAGAATTTCCTTCACAGCTAATGAAATTCCCTAGAATTTCCTTTCCTTTCCTTTCCATCCCTCTCTATTTTATATTATGAGTTGTGTAAGATCCCAAGGAATTACCCTTCCATTAACAGGAAATAGGAGTCTTTTCAATAGTTAAAGCCCACCTCCAAAGAATAAATAGTTCATACAACATATCAGAGTTCCATTTTCCTCGGTTATGCAGAACAAGCTTTGCCCACTAGCCTGACCCAAAATTCCACTATAAATTAACCACCAGGTCTTTTAACTCCAGGTTCTTTAACTTTGTACACTCCTTTCCAGAATCCCAACATCCAAAAGATCTTATTTTTATCAGCCCTTCCTGATCTATCTCAAAGCTTATATAATAGTGACATGTCACTGTTTTTCAAAATATCTGATAACATGAGACTTTAATATGTCTTTCGCACGGCATGCAGCTGACCAAACCAGTCTAACAAAATCTCTTCTCTCAGAATCTTCATCACCGCGTGCTTGGAGGCAAAGCACGATGCTTATCTTCACTGTCTTATCGTAGAATGATTTTTTCGATGAACTAGATGTTGCTGCCCTCCTATCTGAGATGAATCTTCATATGAGAGCGTGAACTTATTTGAATCTGACATGAACCTGTGTTTACTGAATTGTACAGAGATAATGGAGGGGAAATGGGCAGAGATCAGAAGGCAGTCGACAAGAATCTTATTAAATGAATACATATCCATCCATCCTATATACACACACATATAATGTGATAATTTTAAGAGAGATATTAAAACTAAAATTATAAAAAAAATAGTTAATGTATTATGGGAAGAAATGAAAATAATAAAATACTTAATTAGATATATTTAGTGTGATTGTGGTTTTTGTATATCGGCTATTGAATACTATTTTTTGCAAATTTTGTTAATTAATTTTTTTTGTTTGTATATTTTTGCAAATATCTAGTCGTTGGTTCTTTTTAAGGTAATTTTATTTATTAAAGTTGGGTGGGAAACTCTTTTTTCTTTTCTCCCCCTCGGTGTCTTCACAGTGACATCTAACTTCTTTTTTATTAAAACGTTTGATTTTTTTTCCAAAGAAGCAGCCTGATTTGGCTTACAAAATTAAGTAGTTTTTGCTTCAAAAGTCAAATGGGCCAAAAGCTTATCCAAACAAATGTTTTAGCGTGCGTTTGGAATGCCATTAGGGAGGTAAACGTGTATGGGAAAATGTGAAACCCAAGTTAGTGACTTA